CCTGCTGTTCTGTTTGACAGTGTTTGCAGAGAGCTGGATTGAGCTGCCTGCTCCTTTGATGCCCAGAGGAAATTTGAAGTCCTGAACTTGTCCTTCTGTACTGAGAACTGCAACTTCCAGGACTGCATGAGGCAAGGGAATAAAGGAGGAGGAGTAAGGGGGCATTCTTTAAACTACAAAGAGCAAATGATAATTGCGTGAAAACCACTGTTTCTTTTTATCTACTTACAAAACTTTACTGTTAGAGCTCAACAAAATATGAACCAAATTATTCTAAGAAGTTCTTATGCCTTGACTACTCTGAAAAATTTCATATAATCTTTTTGATGTATTTCATATATTTCATATAAGCATTTTATTCTAGGTTTATATTTTTTGTCATGAATTAATTCTAAACTTTTAGCCTATGAGTAGTATATGAATTCATAATACAAAACTTTCAGTGTTTTATTTAAATGATTAAACAAAACTATATCAAAATGATACCTTGGCTCTTTATGTTAAGTAAATTTTCAATGGTTATTTGCTTGCCAAGGGTAAAACCATGAAGTATAAATTTGAATGTCTTTATTGTATGTATACATCTATTTACATGTATAAGATATGTTTTAATACAGAAGACTCCACAGGTCAGTTTTGCAGTAATAGATTTTTCTCTAATTTCTAAAAGTGGTAAGACCAGCTAAGTTTACTTATGAGAAAATGCCTAGCATATTAAAACTCCCCATTAATTTTCACTAGTAACTATCAATCTGTACATATTTAAGTTGGTCAAAATAGGCTCTAAGTGTCAAATCTGGCCTGCTATCTGCTTTTGGAAATAAAGTTTTATTGGAACACGGCCTGCTTCCATATTGTCTTATGGCTGCTTTGGTGCTACAATGCCAGTTAAATATTTGCAACTTAGACCACATGGACTGAAAAGCCTAAAATATATACTATTTGGGCTTTCACAGTAAAAGTTTGCCAACTAAGGATAACACATACTCTAAATAATTCAATAAATAAAGTTCATATATATTTTTCCTAAGTACACCCTCTCTAATGGTGTATATCCTTGCATAGCTATTTCTATACTTGGATACCAGGTAAACACGTATGTACACATACACACATACAACGATGCATTTACTCCCTTTCTTTTTACAAAATGGGCTTATGCCATTATAGAGTAACTCTTGAATACTAATTTTTTTACTTTTTATCTGCCACACCTTTGTTTTGTAAAATACATATAGATTTATTTATAAATATAAAATTATAATGCTGGGAGATTTTTATAAGTTATCAGACCACATGTCAAGCATCTAAAATACAAGTTTATAATGAGAGTCATATAACTCCTAGAAGTCTATCAGCTTAAGAGATAGGCTGAAATACTTATTTTATTGATCCATGCTTAGAAAGATTAAGCTGATGAGCAGGTGAATGATCTCTCCTCGTATCAGATCCCATGTGTGCGGGTAAGGGGTTAAGGGAGAAAGAAGAGTGACAAAAATATGCATCTAATATATACCTCTCTTTTCCTTTCACTGAAAGGCACTCAATTATTCTCAAAACAAGATGGAAGACAGGATGAAAAAAGGAAATAATCTTGAGTTTCATGAAATGTTACAAATACAGATATATATGCACAGAGTTAATTTCATTCAACAGATATTTACTTATTAGAGTTTAAAAATTACATCTATTAAATATATAGATGCAAAAGTATTTAGTAAGTTTATACATACTTTAAGTACAACATCCTGAACAAACTGAGTTTAATTCAAAAAGTCTTCCAGAAATCAATGCATTAGAAAATATATCAATGGCCCGACTGGAGGGGCTCAGTGGTTGAGAGCATCCGACCTATGAACCAGGAGGTCATGGTTGGATTCTTAGGCAGGGCACATGCCCTGGTTGCAGGCTCGAACCCCAGTGGGGGGCATGCCAGAGGCAGCCAATCAGTGATTTCACTCCATTAATGTTTCTATATCTCTCTCCCTCGTCCTTCCTCTCTGAAATCAATAAAAATATATGTAAAAAAAGAAACTATAGTAATGTAATTTACCAAATTAAGATAAAGCAGAAAGAATTAAACACATTCCAATACTCACTCAATATAAGAAATCTTTACAAAATAATAGGAATAAAATAATTTCTTGCTCAGATAAAGGCTTTGGTATCAGATAAAGGGTATCTTTTTAAACTTAGAGCAAACAACGGTGAAAAGCTCCGGAAGCATTCCTTTTAAAGTCAGGATGATCCCTGTCACAGGTCTGATTTAGCACTGTACTAAAAGAAGAGCTAATGCAACAATTCAAGAAAAACAAAAGCTACAAAGACTGGAAGGAAAAAGCAAATTGTTATTATTTACAGGAAATATAATTAACAACATACTAATCTTGAGGGAGACTCCATATACTCTGAGAAGTAAAAGAATTTGGCAAGACTATAGCCAGCAAAATTAACTGTGGTCCTATAGACTAAGCAACAATTAGAATATGTAATTTTAGAAAAATTAAAGTTAATAAAATTTTATTTTAATTACAATAAAAATAAATAGTGTAGTTCCCAAGGACTTAACCTAATAAGAGAAAAGTACAAGATATTAATGGGAAAAACACAGAACTTTATTAAAAGATCTAATAACAAATGAAGGATTTTTTATGGTCTTACTTGGGATAACACAATAAATCTGTGACACTTCTTTTAAAATCTATCTATAAACTCAGTCTAATTCTAATAAAAATTCCAACAAGATTTTTTTGAGTAGCAATAACTTGACAATCTGATTTTAAATTTCACGTGGGGGAGCCATGCCAAAAGCAGGCAAGGCAATTAATGCTTCACAGAACAGAACTGAAGGAACTCACCAGATAGTAATATTACTGAAACAAAACCAAAGCAACGCCTAACACATACTCCTAACATGAACATAAACTTGATATATGACTGAGATATCATTACAAACCAATAGGGAAAGGAATGGATTATGCAACTACAAATACAAGTATTGAACAATTGATTATCCATATGGAGAACGTAATCAAATTAGTTAACTCCTACATACATAAACAAAAGTTAATTTTAGGTGGATTAAAAGCATAATTGTAAAAAAGGAAAGTATTATGATTTCCAAAGAAAATACAAGATCTTTATAACTGTAGAGAAGATTTTCTTGAGCAAAACACCAAAAAGAAAATACTTCTTAAAAAGATCTCAGAAACACGGCCCTAAAAGAATGGATAATAAATTTTACTTCATTATTCTGTAAAACAAAAGAAATCATAAACAAAGTAAAAAAGAGAAGGCATCAATAAAAAATAAATATTTGCAAACCAGTGTTCAGAATGCATTATTCACAGAGAAAAAGGTATACAGGAAAAACTTGTAAACAAATTTACTGGAGAGAAAACAAAAAACAACAACAATAAATGCAGTAAGTAGTCAAAGAACTGCAATTAAAACAATAATGTGATCAAGTCAAACCTATTAAAATGACAAAGTTTATGTTGATAATATAGTGTTAACAAAGACAGTGGCTGGGAATACTGGTATTATAGGTGAAAATGTAAAATGGTAAAACTATAATTTGACAGTATTTAGTAAAGTTGATGATGGGCATGCTCTAAGACTCAAAATTTCTACTTCTAAGTCTATATGTACATATATATCTGGAAGGCATACATATGAACAAGAAGACACAAAAACTTTCACTGAAGTTTTCCTACAGTACTAGGAAAAACACATAAGCCACTGAAGTATCTATCATTGGCACAATTAAATAATAGTGAAGTCTTCTTATATCAGATGAATGCACTAAAGATGCATGTATTAACATACATAAACATGAAAATTATCATAGTAGAGAAAAATTACTCAATTACATTTGTAGTGTGAAATCTTAACTTAAAAAACAAAAAGTAACTGTTAAATGTACATTTCCCATAGAGCAAAAAGATTTTTAAAAAAGCTTACCAATGTTAACAGGTAATTTAAAGATGATGGTTACTTCATTCTTGATCTGATCAAGAAGGAGGAGACCCAGGATTGTTTATAATATTATCTACTTCTGTATGCTTGAAATAATATATGCTTTGTTCAATAGATCTCCTGAAATTGAATCCACTTGATTCATAGGAGAGCCTCACTCACAACCAATGCTGTCGATAGGATTTTAATATATTTCTCTGTCCTATTTTTATAATTCATCGCAGAGTATTTACTGCGATGAGAGGAGAAGGGGAGTAAAGTGAGAGAGCATACAGGGAGAACTACTGCTTCTGCCAGGTGACCCATCACATTGTAGACTCCATCACCCTGAGTCCCAGGGTAAACATAACTTGGAGCCCACAGATGACAGGGAGCAGCACCAAAGCCCAGCCTGCAATAGTGATGCAACATGATGGGTATAATCCTTTGTTGTTGTGAGCTGCTGTGACTTTGGGGGTTTTGTTACTGCAATGTAACTAAGCTTACACTGACATAAAATCATGCAGGCTGCTAAGCCCATTGGAGAATAAATGATTGATAGTAAATTTTATAATGGGTGAATTAGGCTGATAATACTAAAACACCTATCGATGGCAAGATACAAAGACAAGCAAACATATGCCTCTTGAATAGGATGCAATAGAAAGTTCTGGGGGGAAGGGGGAAGATAAGACTTACATCTGACCTGATCAAGTCTCCTGATATAATTTTCAGTATATATCATTCATGATAAAATGATATAGGATGAAATAAGCCAAGTCCAGAATGTGGGGTATTTTACAGAACAAATTATCTGGTCAGTTTCTTCAACAAAAATGAAAATGGTTTTAAAAAATAACTGTATGGATAAGTGGCTTTTAATTAAAAGATACTAAATCATTGTATCAATTAAATGTCTGACATGAACTTTTTTGAATCCTGGTTTAAAAATTAAGGTATTAAGTATTAACAAATTTATGTGAATCAAGTAAATTTAAGCACATGTTTGTTATCTTTTGAAGCTATTTTTCTTAAATTTTAAAGTATAAAAATGACATTGTGTTTTCTTGGAAAAAAGTATAGGATATTTACCAATGTATTTAAAGTAATAATAATATGATGTTAAGATATGCTTTGAAATAATAACAATGACAAGAATAAGTGAAACAGGATTAGCTTAGATGTTGAATAAAAAACTGCTTCTCTCAAGATATCATTAAGAAAAATTTTTAAAAATGACATACTGAGGGAAAACTTTCAGAGTACATACACTTGACAAAAGATTTGTATCAAGAATATATAAAGAATCTTTGTAACTTATTACTACGAAGACCAACAATCTAATTAAAAATGAGCAAAATACATGAACAGACACTTCACAAAAAGATGTATGAGAGGCCAATAAGCGCACTTGAAAAGTTGAACAGTTATCAATAAAATATAACTTAGCAATCATACAAATGCAAAATAAAGCCAAAATGAAATCCTACTAGACTAAACTTAAAAAGACATTTGAGAAGACAATCCTAAATGTTGGTGAAAATGTGGGGCAACTGGAACGTTCATTGCCGTTAAGAGTAAAAAATGGTACAATGACTTGGAAAAGAGCAGCTCTAATAAAATTGCAGTCAAAAAGTGGAAATGACCTAATTGTCTAACAAGTGAGTTAATATTCAACTAGTGGTATGTCCTTATAATTAAACTAGAGACCCGGTGCATGAAATTCGTGCACTGTGTGTGTGTGTGTGTGTCTTCAGAAATTTTCAGGGAGCTTGTGAAGTCTCTTCTATGAGGTATAGCGTGCGTGTGTGTGTGTGTGTGTGTGTGTGTGTGTGTGTGTGTGGTGGGGGTATTGTCCCTCAGCCCAGCCTGCACCCTCTCCAATCTGGGACCCCTTGAGGATGTCCGAATGCCCATTTAGGCGCGATCCTGGTGTGATCGGGCCAAACGGGCAGTCGGACATCCCTTTCACAATCCAAGACTGCTAGCTCCCAACCGCTCGCCTGCCTGCCTGCCTGATTGCCCCTAACCACTTCTGCCTGCCAGCCTGATCACCCCCTAACCACTCCCCTGCCAGCCTGATTGACACCTAACTGCTCCCCTGCTGGCCCAATCACCCCAACTGTCTGCCCCTGCCGACCCGGTCACCCCCAACTGCTCTCCCCTGCCGGCCCCATTGCCCCAACTGGCCTCCCCGGCAGGCCATCTTGTGTCCACATGGGGGCGGCCATCTTGTGTGTTGGCGTGATGGTCAATTTGCATACTGGCCATTACTAATTAACATATCAGGACTAATTAGCATATCCCTCTCTTATTGTGTTGGAGTGATGGTCAATTTGCATACAAGTCATGACTAATTAGCATATCCAGTCTTGACTGTGAGGGTGTCATGACCAATTTGCATATTACCCTTTTATTAGTATAGATACTACTCGGCGGCAATGAAAAGGATGGAATTACTGATGCTCACACCAACATGGGTGAATCTCAAAAACATTATTCTACATAAAAGATCAAAATCATATATTATATGATTCCATTAAACTAAAGGTCCAGAAAAAGCAAAACTATAGTGACAGAAAACAGATCAGTGGTTGTCTGGAGCTAGGGATACCAGGAGACTGACTGGAAAAGAGCATAAAGAACCCTTTTAGGTTGGTAGAAATGCTGACCATGCTGTTAGTTAGGTGGGTGTACATTTATTAAAAGTCATCGAACTGTACAGCTGTTCTTATTGTATATAAGATAAGATATAACTGAAAGTTGACTTTTAAAAGCTATACCAGATGTAATTATGGCATTTTTATAAAGTTATACATAAGGGTAAACCATACAATAAAGTAAATTAAGGACTGAAGGAGAAATCACTAAGGAGAAAAAACAAATTGTTTTAATAACCAAAGACTTTGTAACCATATTCTAAATGTAGGTAAGAGCATCAAGAGAGTGAGAACATAAAAGGATAATGGGCCATTTTAGTCCTCTAAAATGAGAATAAGTTGAATGTATTCCTCATACTAACTCATGTATAATATTTGTCACAAAATTCTTTTATCTCAGAAATAAAAAGACATACTATATTAGAATATGTAAAATGACTTTCACAGTGATAATTACTTGGGTAATCTATCTATCTATCTATCTATCTATCTATATGTATGTATACACACACACACACACACAGTAAGTTCAGGGTATTGTTTTTGAAAAGTCAAACATTACATTATATACTATAAGAATCTCTACCCATAATGTTCCTCTTTAAATAAAAACAATTTTTTAAGTATAAAGCATACTTCTTTAGAGCTCTAAAAAACAAAGGTATTGGGAAAAATATATTACTAAACACTTAAATCTTCAGACTATGTATCAAATTGAGATAAAACTATCTGGGACATATAATAAGAGTTATCTGCATTATTCGAGGCTAATGGGAGCACAGATTATCAACCTGACCTGTCAGATTTTCTGGCACTCTAGGGAGGAGCATAAGAAGGAAATTTTAGTTTTGGGGTTTTTTCTTTTTGTTTTAAATATAGCCTTTAGAAGACTCAGAAAAAAACAAACCGAGGTCATAACATTTTCCATGACTCATCCTCTAAGATGATCAAGTCTACACTCCTTTATCCTTACAAGTACATCACTGGAAACATTTGAGAAGACTCATTTAAGGTATATCTTAGGAATTTCATTAGACTAGTAAATAAATTAACCTTAGAAATAATAAAAGCTTTAGAGAGGGGAGCTTTATTCACTCTGTATTATTACTAAGGCTATGGTAGGTACCATTTTCCTTATGACTGGTCTCCCAGATCATGTCAGGCCAAATTATTTTAATTTAATTTAATTTGAAGTTACTGAGTTGTTTATCACTCTAAAACCTCACAGTAAATAAAAACATGATTTTAATAATACTTTATTTCTCTCTAGAAATTCATTTATTTAAATCAAGTTCAAGTTTTGAATTTAAATCCAAGTATCACAATCTGATTAATGCCTATTTCTTCTATATACTTTACATTACTACATTTTCTAATATAAAGTCCCATGATTTAGACAGACACAATTAGGTAATGAGATAGGGCATTCCAGATAGCAAAACTTCATTTAATATCCACTGTTCCAGATATATATTCCTTTGGTAAAAGATTAGTCATGATCCCTTCTGGTTTTTTTTTATATTTATGCTTGGAAAACTTCTTTACTTTATTTACTAAGGGATACTACAAAACTTTATCTAAGCTCAAACTCACTAAATGAGCAACACTTCTAAATCAGTCAAACCTAAATTTATGTTACTGTACTTCTTTCAAGTGTCACAAGTTAATCCCTGCCTCTTGTTGCCAGCCTTCAAATCCTAAATCATGCTTCAAACTATCGGCAGCTATTTTGCAATCTATGAAGCAGGGATATTCTACTGTATGGAAGATGTAGCTCACTGATCACATTTTCACCTGAAGGCAGTTGTGATTAATATAAACATTTGGCTCACACTGTTTGCCTAAAATATTTGACTGGGATAACACATTCCAGAAAGTAATTTAAATACATTAGGAACATAATATATGAAATGGAAAAGCGTTTGCCACAGTTCCACAGCAAGCACTTCCATTACTTAAGCAATCCATATTCAGGCATTTAAGTACTCTAACACATTTTTCCTTTAATGATTTTTCAGTGGGGAATAAATACAACACACACACACACACACACACACACACACACACACACACGACACCAACTTTTAAAAGATATATGAAAGGTGTTGGCTTCTGAATTAAGTTTATGAAATGTGATCAATAATATCTCTTGTTAACAGACAAAAATATTTCCACAGAAGAGACGCTGGCCACTGGGAAAATAACAGATTCAGAATGGAGACATCATTACCTTAAACATCTACCTTCTAAATCAAAGATTAAGCCTGACCGCAGGTTCACTTACCAATATTTTCGGTAGGCATTGAGACTCTGGTTGGTTCTACCAGATTGTCAGCCAGGACAAAAGCCCCTTCTTCCAGCGTATCCAGTAACATCGTTGCAGTATGCGCTTGTTCAGAAGAATTCATGTGTTTCCACGATTCCAAAGCTTCAGGTTTCAGAAGGTTGTCCACTGTGTCAACAATTGCCTGCATCCATTAGAAAACCATCATTCGTTTGGACTGCTTGTAGTACCACAGTGATTTTTCAACCACTGACTAGTGACAATTGTAATATTTATCTGTCATGATGACTTACTCTAATTTCAAGATGGAAGAACACCTGGACAACATATATCTGGTCAACTTGTAACATATCTGACTATTTCAGAATAGGACTGACTGAGGATTAGTAGACTACTATTTGATTATAAAGAGTACGTGTAAAAAGATGGCTTTTCTGTTTATCTAATCATCTCAGTTGTTGAAAAGAAATAGAGTCAGCTCTTAACCTAAGGTATTCCTCTTACATGCATAGCCACTCCTATTTATAACCTCAAGGCTGGAATGTTCTAAAGAGCAAACACTGATGCCTCTGGAGTAGCCTAATAGTTATGCTTGGAAAGTAAGACATATTATTTTTTGGAACATGAACTCAAATTTAATAACTAAAATTGTGCCTTATAACAATATCTGCTTGTTACCATTGGGACAAAAAAACAAGATGATTTCAAATTTTGTAAATTATCTGTGAACATAATTCACTCTTCTAATTCCCTGTCCAGCTAAAAAAAAACACACACACAAAAAAAACCCCACTTGAGAGTATACCTTAATTCATAAACAAGGATCTGTTTCAGAAGGAATCAATAAAGCAATCAAAATATGTAAAGCCTATACTAATAATATAATGGAAACAGAAAGGCAGGATAAATCCTTCATAAGCATCCAACTTGTAAATATGCACACATGTAGGTTTCATTTACTGTTACCCAAAATAACATTAAATAAAAATATAACCCAGTCAGTTAAGCAACTGAAGGCGGGCTTTTGTACTGATAGTTCCTGTAGCACTACACTAACTATAGCTTGGCTAGCTGAAATCACTAAGTTTATTTATTCTACCCAATTTACCTAGTCCTAATGTGTCATTAGGCCATATCTAAACTGTTTTGATTTACTGGCAATCACAGATGGAAAAAGAACACAGACTGTACAAAGAACACCACCAAAAACTGCTAGTTTGAGGTGCTGTCTTAAAATGAGCAGGGGGAAAGGCTGTTTGAGGCTACTGTCAGAGCAAGATTAATTAGCTTAATCCGTCTTAATATCCTCGTTCTGTCTGCCTTGTGAGCCACCACAACCTTCCTGGCAGGTGAAGATACTGCCAAGGGACGTCAAAGGCTTTTTTCTTTCTCTAATGGAAGATAGAATACTCAAAATGCTCACATTGATACTACTGCAGCCATTAACTAGAGTGGGACGGAAATCGGTCTGCTGAGGCCAGATTCATTAGTCACCAGAAATACAGGCTGAAGCCTCTAATCTAAGTTACAAATGAATCCTCTGTCACAAAGCAGGAAACCGCTTCATTTGCATAGTGTAAGTCGGCTTCTGATTGGTAATTTAAGGAGTTTTATTAGTCTTATCTGAACAGAGAAAAGTCATTTGTGACATGTTGAAAATGATACTGGTCAGAAATTAAGGCCATGCTGAAATTTACTATGTCTACACTGGTGGCATGACTTTATGAATCTGAAACACTCCTTATTTATTACCATTAGTACTTTTCTCGTGGAATCAAAATGATCATTAGTCTCATCCTATTCCTGAAGTAGTCTCTCCCTGCCAAAGAAAAAAAGCTATTCTCTTCCCACTGAAATGTATGTCCTGGGCAACATCCCAATTATTACATTTCACACATTAACTAATAACTTTAAGGTGAACTGAAACTTCAGTATGACAAATTCTATACTCTTTAGCAGTTATTTCTTTGTCCTGGTTAAAAAGGCTAAAGAGGGGCTTTCAGAATATTACTACCTGAAAACAGACTTTCCCACCACCTTTTCTTATAAAGTTCAAAGATCTTTATAAGAAACTTAGTAAGTTTATTAGTAACAAGTCTACTAGTAACTTGTGGGATGCCATCCTTTTTTCCAGACCTTGCCAAAAAATAGAAGCCACAGCTTTCGAATAACCTCTGTTCTAGAAAACTTCTAAGTTCTTTGTTGTGTTGTCACATATATAAGAATAGGTTTGATTTATTAGTAATATGGTCCTCAGATAAGCAAGATTAGAAAGTAACTCACACCCCCCAAAAAAAGAACACTTAAAATTCAGAATGAAACAAAAATGCAATATGGCATTATTATTTTGACCTATCACACAGAACTAGCATGGCATATTTCTACTGTTAGCCTCACTCAGCATTTTTCCTATTACTTGGATTTGCCCGGAGAAAAACTGGCTGGAACAGACAAGGATTCTCAGCCAAATGGTGGCTTTCTGTTCCGATCAGCCTGAGAAATACCAACATATAACACATGTCGATAGCACAGTCACATTATTCATATATCATTTCTAGTAACCCTTCCCGATATCAACTTGGTTCTAGAAATGACTCTGAAAAATTTCAGGACAAAGCCTATTTTATTTAAGAGTATCCCACAGATAAGAAAGCAGTGACTTTTTCATGCACATACATTATGACTGTACAGTCTTTGATAGGATAAACTGCCAAGGCTGTATCATAGCTGTGTTACTACACAAGTTGTTTTTTCATCCACAGAGATGACAGCCGAAAACAAGGAGACTATATAATTAGTTTCCAATTCAGGGGGCATTTCATTAAAATTCTTGTACATTTGGATAAACTGGAAAAACAGCAAAAATTATAAAAAATTATTTGCTTATTCTGAGAGTAATATACCTGTGAGAAGCCAACATTTGTACAGCTGATATGGGGCACATTATATAATTATCAAAGACTGAAATACATTGGATCATGCAGCAAGATGATAAAGCGTGGCAAGTAGCTGAAGGAGGGAGAAAGCAGGGTGACAGCACAGGAGAGATACCTTAAGGTAAGCCCTGCATGTCTTCTCTCGTTTTTGGAGCTTTTTAGTAAAAGAAAAGAAAATCACAGGTTAGACTTTAACTGTTGAAAACGAGGAAAGAAGAAATCCTCAAAAATTTAACTGGTGCTCCTGAGCTCAGATTTTATTGGCACCAGACACTTCTGGATTCCGTGGGTCTGCGCTGACTGCCAAAATAGTGCACTTACAGGTTTTAACTGTAAGTTACTAAGTACACTAATCCAAAGTATCTTGATAAAACTAGAGACAAAATATGTGGTCAAAAAAAATGACTATTTTTTTCCACCCTATAAAACCATGTTAGCCACAGATTGTGGATTCATATGAATCTCATCGAAACACTTTTTATAGTATGGTTAAAATAACCATTACATTTTTGGCATGCTATGAAAAATTAATAGTACTATTACACTTTACTCCTAGCGAGGGAAAACTTGTTCTTCTTCCCAAAACCTGCCACTAAGAACAGTATTTCAGTGGCTAACATTCCTCTTCCTGTCACAATTGTGTTGCAACCCTAAGAGTATACAAAGTATGTGTTCTAGAACACAGTCTCTACACAGAATCTCTCCAAGTGCACTGAATGCATTCTAAAGTGAGACCACTGACCAGAAACAGGCAGGTGAAGTCTGCCAACAGCTAAGGTCACTCCTCAGATAATTAACTTTTTATTGTTGTTATTACTGCTCCTTTCGCAACTATCGTTCTTCCTTGGGACATGAACCAGAGAAGTTTCATTTTTAAGTATATGTCCAAGGGGCCAGAAGTTTGGCAGTCAACTGCTATTAGGATCCAGAGCTGCCATACACAATGCCTAATTGAATAGAACAGAAAATGCCTACTTACCTTGTTATAACTCCGTCCAGCTGAATCTTTTTCGCTAGGTTTCAGTTCCTGCAGCTGTGCATCAAGAATGTCCACCAACTGCTCCATCAATCTCACTGAAGAACTCACATCCCCAGCAAACACCGGCCCTTTGGTATGTTTAGCCAGTTCATTGGCAAGACTAGCGGCGTTTTCTCCACTTCTAATCTGAAACGCCAATTTATAGTATCTCAGTAAGATTTCTTGTTCTGTTCGTGGCTTCCTGTTCTTCTCCTGAGCATCTTCGCTGTGGTGAAAAACTTACTTACAAATGTGTCAAAATCTGCAACTAATTGAGAGCAATAACGTTCTCTTTATTTCAGATGATGAAAGGTTCTTAGATCCTCAGCACACAAAAGAAATTCTTAACCAGACATTTAAAAGAAACAAAAGGAGGGTGGGTGGGGGTGGGGGAAGAAAACCAGAAATCCTTTGCGAAAGTTTCAGATAGCTCTCTCATTTCACTGCAACCATTTTAAACTGTTATTTCAGAATCATTTATTTATCCCAATGATCCAGAAATTTAAATCAGAACATAATCAGTAGGACACTGAGGGTTATTATCTACTGCTTGCACTTCACAAAGGTAGATGGGAAAGGAGAAACTAAAATGTTACTGTATTCCACTATAATGTAAAATATTTTTACTTATATTCTACTGTAAATATTTTTACTCATTCTATCATAATCATCTGTGATATAAACATCTGCTCACATTCTGTGGATTCAGTTGCAAACATAATGATATTTGATTTATTAGGCCAATGCACTATTTGTCTTACAAACATCAAAAGGAGCAGAACTAACTAAATATGATTGAAATTAAGCAAGTATGTACTCATTAAAAAGCTTAACAAAGAAAACAGCATGCCTCAAAACATATGTAACTTTGAATAAATAGTTTACAGACAGAGCTGTGCGTAATTTTTTTTTTTTTACTTTTATACTGAACAAAGAGTCATGAAGCTGGTTTTAGCATACAAAGCTAAGTTATTTATGTTACAAGTTAAAGCCCTGAATCACCAATATGTATCATATTAAAAGGTTCCAACCAACCTTCTGAGCCAGCTGATTCACCCAGTGTGAGGTACAGTTGCTAAGATCAGGGCCCTTAGGGTTCCATGTTCCAGTGGAAGCCATGCAGAGATACGAGGCAGTTCCTATAGCAGATGTAGAAAACAACAGTGAAATTGAAACCATTTTTCTGCACGCATTCGGGAAATCAGCTATGATGATCCTACCCAGCATGCTCAATGTTGAATAAATGCTAATGGAAGGAGTTGACAATTATTGACAAAAAAAAGTAGGGTAAAATGCGGTCTATAAACAGTAAATATAAAGTCAGCATAGAAATATCAGACATTTCCAACAAACAACAAAGAGCCCTTGATTTTCTTGGGACTCATCCAAAATGATACTTGTAATGAAAAAGGCAGCTGTAAGGAATGCTCACTAGGATCCATGGGCAAAGATCTCAGGCTTGACCTAAAACTTTAAGAGGGAGAGGTAATTAAGGATCTGACCTTCAGTGATTTTTTTTTTTACAGTTGTCTGCAGATGCTGTATTACTAAAGGAACAAGAATAATAACGTTTGCTACTGTAAATACATCCTTCCTCAAGTAAAAATCATTTCAGTGCAATTCAGAATCTACCCTAAAGTAAAATTTCAAACATATCTCTAATATTTTACAGGAAATACCTCTTGTTCCCTTGGGACATGGCCGTTCAACCATCGCTCCCCTGTGGGTCTGAGGCCACCATATGCCCCTGGCATCTAATGCTTCGCAGAATCTCTCTGGCAGGGGAAAAATATTTGTGACGGGAGGAATTTTGGTTGTAGAAACTGCTGGAGGTGGTTTTGTCCCTTTGCTTCCTTCCTGGGACCCAGCTACAGTTGTGCTCATGGGGCCTTTCGGTGAAGTAGTGCTTGTGGTTGACACTGTGGTTTTGAACAGCTCAGCTGAAGAAGTTATTGTCACAGCTGTGGTAGGCACTATGGAAAAAAAGATGAGCATGTTAATCTCAAACACGCACATTCACGTACAGGCACACACGTGCGTACGCATGCACTCACAAAAGCCCACTCATCCAACTACCCCACGACCAACAAGATGAGCATTACTGAGAACATCAGCAGTAGGGAAGAAAAATAAACCTTTTCAGTTATTCCAATTTATTCATATTGTTGGCTAAGTGGACGCAGTTTAGGCCTTATGAGAGATTTTACTGTATGACTCTAGTTGTGTTAGGTTTACTTCTCAATGAAATATTTGACAAGATAGCTTAAGTATAATTTCATCATATATCATGTAACAGGAAACGGGACAGTTTTATATAAAGTTTCAAAGTGCAAATGCACTGTCACTACTAAATGACTTAGAAAAAGTGTTTTCTTGTATAAATCCATACTCTATAAAGAGTATCAACAAAAGGCTGACCAATTACATATAAATGGGACAACAGAAAATTCAGTCACCCACTCTGCATCTTGTAGGAACATAAATATGGTGACATCTTTCTACCCAGCAGCCAATCTTGCTTGAGAGATTTTTGAGCATGCCTGATCAGACCCAAATGGAAGATAAGTTTGGTATGTGGCTGTATTTTAGTAAGGACACATCTAAGGCTTTAGTTCTTTTGAAAACATAGGTATGAAAAAACAACTAGTCTGGCAAGAGAAATGAAATCTCTCATCAAAATAACAGGTTAGATCAATTCATGCCTAATTCAAAACCAAATGTCATTGCATTCCACTGTATCTTACTGACTGTCAACAGGAACTAAAGGAACAACAGTTACACATTTAAAAGTAAAAATTTACAAAGAAGTTTTTTAAAAGGATATTTTTTACTTCCAACATTACTTTCAGACTATGAAATCTAGTAGGTTAAAAAATTAATGGAGCTTATGTGTCACAATAGTAAAAAGTTTGTCAGTAAAACTTTAATACTATCTTTGAAATCTATTAGGTGATCACACTAAAATTTTATCAACATTTATAGTTACTGGCTCTTATAAGGTTTTAAGATAATGCTTAAATTTAAATTGTTTAGAGCACAGCAAATTAAAACTATTTTTTCAAATAATCTTATAAAAATTAACTTATTTTGTGTTTATCTATACATAAGAAACAAACTAGAACATTAACACTTATTAGAAAACTTATTATTACCTTGTTTAGTATTTTAAGCTCGGGTCAATATATAGTTGTTTATACAATTCTGGTACTAGGGACAGAGTATGCTAAGTTTATCAGAGACACTTGTTTCTAGACCTTTAGCAGGGACAAATTTCCTGTTACCAAGAAGTTCACTACACACTTTCCATACCTTTTTTCCCTTCTATAACAAGACAAACTTCTTTTAAACATATGTCTTGTTTCCAGGGCATCATGTATTGACCATGAGAGATGCCTGTGTACATTAGTCAAACATCAGCAGTGGCAGGAACCTATTCAAACCCGTCTATCTTTTTCTGCAAAGCACTTGCCTGGCATCTTGTTAAGCCTCTGTAATTTTCTTTTGATTACAATGCAGCCAGGCTTTCAGTGCTTTCTCAATTAACATTTGTCAAAAGCACTACGATCTTTTGCAGAAGTGTCCAATGTCTGCTGCTGGATCCAATTTTAAAGGGGAGTGGAGAATAGGAGCAAAAAGAGAGCAGGGCAGAGTAAAGTGGTTGCATGCTACACTATCTTACGTCTCCCTCAACACTGTACTAATTAGGGCATATTTCATCACCAAAATACGTATCAGCAATACTACAATTAGTGATCTGAAAGATTCATAACATCCGAGTGGAGGTAGGTAATAAAATGACCTCTATTAAAATGTATAAAATTCCACGCAACATTCTATATCCTGTTTCCATGTGTCTTTTGATAATTTTCGTACCTTTTTACTTTTTGTTCATCAAAAGAAGGTAGTTCAAAGGAAATCAACACATTATCAAAGGCAAATCACTAAAATATTGGGACATCGTGAAAATAAACATGAAAGTAAACTTCAAGTGGCAAAATTAAACCTTTTAGGAGGACTTACTAGAATTTCTGGGATTTTTCAAGGACAAAGTTTAGCAACTTCAAGGAAAGTAATTTTTTGTAAGGTTGAAGTTAGAAATGCTGAGGCATTTCTAAAGATGAATATTTCTTTCCACAGGTGAAGACAGGGCATCAGATAATGATACAAGCTTACACTTATTCAGCATTTATGTACCAGACACTATGCTAATCAGCCTTCAAGGATCATCCGATCACCTCAGTTAATCCGTACCACAACCCCAATGAAGTAGGACTATGATTATCTTCCTTTTAAAGATGTGGGAACTGAGCCATAGAGAAGTTTAAACAGTTTGTTCAAGGTCACTTGTCCATACCCTTAAATGTCATGATCTTAACTTTTCTAGGTAAAAGATTTTCACAGACGCTGGGAAAGCATGGCATCTGCCCTTATTTTGGAGCATGTACCTGACACTGTGCTCTGTGTAAATCTCTAAAAGAAGAAAATATGTGGGGAGGATAGTGTAAGATACTGGAGCAATAGACTACAAAGTTTCATACTGAAATTCATGTGGCAAGAGGTTCAAAGCTCTAGAATAGCCTACAAATGATAGCAGAAAACAAGGCAAACTTCATGCCCAGCTGCTGCTGCAGAAACCTGTTCAAACCCGTCTACCTAATCCAAACCCTAATATACAGAGCTTCATCCCAGTTATTGGGATGCCACAGCAAGACCTGAACTGATGTAGCATTCTGCCTACTGTTATCATTTGAGAGACCTAGAAATGGTGCCAATAAAATGCTAATAAACATACTTAATAGGAACCCATGAAGATTTTGACAAGCACATATAGAATGGTTCAATGTATTACGGTGGTGTCTACTAAGGACTTGCTATTTATCACTGGCTTTTTCCTGCATGAAAAGATTTAAGGACAATACCCCTTTAAGCGAAGGGGAGCATTTCCATCATCTAGGTCCAAGAACTAACCCATGATTCACAGTAGGAACTCCAGCTAGCGTGAGTCTATACCCCGGTAAGGCAATACTAATGCATTCATTAAATTTACCCTATTTAATGTTTAAAAACAGTGGGCATCTTTATTTGAGAGCATCCATTATCAGTGGGAAGATGTTTCAAGAAATATGCATTTTATGCTAAACACTTCCTAAAAAAATAATAAACCTAACTCTCTTGATAAAAATTTCCCCTCATATTATTGAAGTGTCGTACTTCATAATTAGAGTAATTATTCAAGAGCTGTCAAAACCCAAGACACAATATTTTTTTGATAACATTTAGGATATCAAATTTGCAGTCAGATTATGTAAATATACAGCAATTCAGATTAGGAAACAGAAAAGAGTTAAAATAAGACTGAAATGGGATTTTCCTAAGCCCACGTTAGGGAGGAGGAAGGTGAAAGGAAAAACAGACCTAGTTTAGGTAAATGGAGCAAATGAACTATGCAGAGATCACAGAAAGCTAAAACTCAAAGAAAAGAAAAAGAGGAAAGATTTATTCAAAAACCATGATCACGACAAAGAAATAATATAAGTATACTGTGAGAAACAACAGAGCTTGGATTTATAAATGGGAAAAAGTACTGAAGCTAATACACTGTGAAGCAGTCCACAATGAAAAATGAAAGGAATGAATAATTTTGCAGCACAATGTATGCCTTGGTGACACACATCGTGGCAAACCCAGTATATAAGACTGAATTTCAGCCAAGCCAGTCAATCACTGCTTTGTAGGACAGGTAAAGACCTGATCTCTCACTGCTCTGTCCCATCCGTTTCTCGGATCTTGCTTCTGGAAAGCTGACAGTGGCTTATTGGTTTGACCTAAATTTATGGGCCAGAACAGTTCTGCAAGGCCCCATTCAGCTATCAGCACACATCTTGGATGAGAGAGACTGGAGGCTCTCTAAAAGCATATAAAGATAAATTATAAAAATAGAGACTAACAGAATATGATTCAAACAGCAGCAAGAAAAATGTAGGTCAGATAAAACTTTTTACCACTAAGGGTTTTTTAAAGGGCCAATATGAATTTTGACTTTCTGGAAATATTTAAGAATGGCTATTTTGGATAACAAAACACAGTTGTAGGAACACAGGTACCAAATGTGTCTAAGCTTCTCATTTTCAATGCTGGTAACTGCTCTTTCTAAAAAGTATCTAAATTATCAGACTTTTTCATCTGAAATGGATCAATATGTTCACTAGAATATAAGCCACGTGTAAAAATAATATTACTCATCTTGTATTCACTGAGTATTTTTTGTGACAAGTAGACGGGGCAATCAATTAGTCTCTATTAACAATCTTTCAGGTGTTGCCTCATGATGAATTTACATTTTTAAAAAATTATTTTCTTATTTTTCTAATGGAGAGAAGAGATTTACTACCACACAACACAAATGGAACAGCTCTGAGGGCAGTACAGGTTCCAAAAAAGGTCACCACAAGTATCAATACAATGCCAAATTTTGTCAATTCCTGTCATGTGCCTTTTACAAACCTATAGGATAAAGGGGAAGCATGGTCCTAGCTTTTAGGGAAAAAAAAATGAAGATTTCATTGCAGAGCATGTGACAACAGTCATTAATGCTATCATTTTTTTTTTATATTTTATTGAGATTTTACAGAGAGGAAAGGAGAGAGAGATAGAAAGTTAGAAACATCGATGAAAGAGAAACATCGACCAGCTGCCTCCTGCACACTCCCCACTGGGGATGTGCCCGCAACCAAGGTACATGCCCTTTACCGGAATCGAACCTGGGACCTTTCAGTCCGCAGGCTGACGCTCTATCCACTGAGCCAAACCGGTTTCGGCTAATGCTATCATTTTAAGCCAAAAAATTCTAGACATACATTAATTAGAGAAAAAGGGGCCTTGTACTAAGTCAATGTCATTTTTGCTCTTATGAATAAAAATCACAACACAAATTTTGTTATTCTGTGACTCAAAAATTCAACTGCAAAATAAATAAATAAAAACCCTGGTGGAGAAATTGAGACATCAAAGGGCACATGATAATTCAGGCATATAGAGCTCACAAGAACCTTTGCCATTAACAGCTTGTATTCCATTTATAATGTGAGCAAATGTGTTGGGTAGCCCCTGCCTTTCTACATAACTATTTGCATCAGTCTGTTATTGTAAGTATGATAGCAAATAGCCTGTAAGGAATATTTCTTGTCCCAGTTCCAACAATCATTGAATCAGACAGCCATTTGATGCAGATTTCAAAGCACTGTGACGCAAATCTCACCTTCTAGTACAAAAGACACCTTCACACAATTAACTGATGTCTCATTTAAACTGGTATTTGAAAAACTGATTCTCAGCAAACCTTATATCTTACTAGAGGCCTGGTGCACGACATTCATGCACTGGGGATGTGGGGAGGGGGTCCCTCAGTCTGGCCTGCACCCTCTAGCAGTCTGGGACCCCTTGGGGGATATCCACCTGCCGACTTAGGCCTGCTCCCTGGGCCTAAGCTGGCAGTTGGGCATCCCCTGAGGAGTCCTTAGCGCTGCCGCAGAGGTGAGAGAGGCTCCTGCCACCATTCTGTGCTTGCCAGCTGTGAGCCCGGGAGGGGGGTAGCGGGGAGCAGCTCCTGCATTGAGTGTCTGCCCCCTGGTGATTATAGCAACTGGTCATTACACTGTTTGGTCGATTTGCATATTAGTCTTTCATTATATAGGATATGAGGTCTGACTTTCCTAAACTAAAAAACAAAGCCTTAAAGTTATTAATCTTTTTCCTACAAATCACTTGCATGTACAGAAATTCTCTGAACCAGCACTGCTGAAGTTAAAAATGTAAGTTAAATGTAGGACTGGATCTCAAGTCGGTGTTTCTACCAGGAATCAGGAACTTGGGCTTTAGCAAACATTACCATCCACTCAATATCATGAATCATATTAATATCTTGAATAGTATCAGTTTTGAAAGTGTAAGGACTATGTGTGCAATGTTATGTGTATATCAGTATATAATAATAAAAAGAGTATATCACAACAACAAAAGTTAAATAAAAGACTATGACTTCTGTTTTTGAGGTTCTGATCCCATAACAATATTTAGAACTTAGTATATCCTTAACCATGTGGGGTATATATGTAATTATGTGGATATGTACTGCTTTAATAGAAGAAAAAATTATTCATTTCTGATCCACCTTGAAGAGTTTGATTTAATCACTCCAAAGACAGTCTGGCTCCTAAAATTTTGAAGTTACTCAATAATGTGAGAACTCCAATTAACTCAGTAAACTGAACCATTAATTCAGAACTTTAATACACAAATATTGTTCAAATAGAAGACTCATAATTAGTGCAAGCTCTATAACTTTTATCGTGAGGATGAGGTAATCTTGTTTTAATAAAATATTCATTTAATTCAACCTAAAAAATTGTTTCCCACAGAATTCAATTCACTTGATAAACTGAAGTATATTTCCCAAGATTTAGCTTTATTTCCTGAAGAATGAACCTCCACAAGGTTACCTGAAGGTAACACATAAAAATACTGGCAGATAACATCTTTATACAATATCACTTGGAACCATGTAATGTTTTGTCCATGGTGACAGTTGAAGTCACAGAAATATTGACTTAAAACCGTTACTAATTTACCAGGAAATAAAAATGGATAATTTTTACATGATCTAGGAAGCTACTGGATGACTCCCTCTCCTGCACAGAGAGCAGACTTCAAAACACTCACTTATGCCTGGAGTTGTACATCAAGCCTCGCAATTCTCCTGGGACTTCCTAACACTTATTCCCTTTACCCACTGGCGCCAAGAAGTTAAAAGGTCTGCACATAGATTGTAATCAATTCAGAAGTCAGGGAGGAAAAAAAACAAAGCTAACAGGTTTGTTTGTAGCTGGTATTATATTTTTAGCAGTGCCCAATGAGGCTACATAATTTTCTGAAGCCAACATTTAAGCGAAGAAATTGGAGGTAAGGAGGGGGAAAGGACGGAGGATGGACTAAAATAAAACTAAAATGTATATACTATGAAATAACTTTAAATGCGACATTATTCTTTGTGCTTTAACTATGAAAAGGGGGAGAAAATAAATGGGAAAAATTAAAAAGTCTTTTACAAATATGCTGTTCACAAAAGACATATCTACATTAGCAAGCAAACATTCTCACCTTGGGCAGGATCAGGTGGACCAAACTCCAGAGAATATCGTAGAATGAAGTTATTGTTCCACACGTACAGTTGGTTATCTCTGGGATTGTAATCCACTGCAGCGATATACTGGTACTGGTTGGGGAAGGGGACATCTACATATTCTCCTCGGTTTAATCGGGTATTGTAGATGTAGTCAATGGCGTTCTTGCCTGTTTCACTCTCATTGTCTTGATAAACTGACCTGACCACGTACAGGACTCCGCAGATCATAAAAGCATTCGATGCAGCACGTTTGTCGTACACAGTCTCCCACGTTGCTTCAAATCGCAGAGTGTATGGATTCAGTTGGCTAATAACTATCATTCCATTGTTCTGTTCCGTGGCATAGATGACCCATAAGCCATTTTCATCAACTGCTAGGTCGATATCAGTCTTTCCTCCCCATCTATACGGTGAGGTATCATGGTAGTTGGCATAGTTAATTATGGCCTCTCCACTCTTAATTCTAGTCCTCAAATCAAATTTCACAATATTCCTCGTTCTTTCTTTGTTAAAGAAGACAGCACCATCATATACCACAAATCCAGTACCATCTACTCGATTTGGAAGTTTGTATGTTGTTGTTTGGCGACTGTTTTGGAAATCTTCTATAGAAGCATATTCTATTAAAGTATCGGTACGATAGGGAGTCCAGGGCATGAAATAAATTTTATCTGCGGCCTGAAGAGGGTCCTTGCACCAAGCACCTGCCTTTTGCTCAGCTTCATATATACATGGCGAGTCCACAATTGCTTTCAAGGTCCCAGGGCACACAAAAACTAGCAGTCACAGAGAAAAGACAAGAATTAAGCCAAGTTAAAAAAAATTACATAGGTAAACACAACTTTTAAGGATCATAAATCAAAAGAAAAAAAAATCATTTTAATTAACATTCTGTTTTTCCAAAGTGTATCCTTAAAACAAAGTACTGCCCTTCTTCCCTCAAGTTCCCATAATCAATGCACCAGCACACAGAGTGGTTGGGGCTTGTTTTCATACATATGAGCTACGTTTAAGACCATTCATAATTGAGCAAAGCATTTACATTTTTGCTACGTGTTTTTATTTGATAATATGGTAATTTATTCTTTAAAACTTGAAGCGTTAGTGCACAACGGTGTACAAAATACTTTAAACCAAACTTCCCTGGCCCACTTATGAGCCCCCAAACCCTACCCTTCCTTGGCCCACCTATGAGCCCGCAAAACCCCAAAGCAAAATAAACAAAATAGAACAAAAAAACCCAATGTGAAGCCTTGTTTAGAACTTTTACAGAAGTTAGACTGAAAACAAAGGCGCTTCGATTGAAGAAACAAATATTCGGAAAATGCAATTAGGAGCAGAGAAAAGTAAATACAAGGAAAGCAGTGATGAAGCAACCAGGATACCCTGTAACCATGGCATGCTATGGAGAGGGTTCTGGAAACCAGGCAAGATGGCACTTTAATAATAAAATATCCAAGGGTGTCAGAAAAAAGAGATAAAGGGTGAAAAAGGACAGTTCCCCCTCGCCGACTTCAGAATTTTTATTCCATCACCAGATTTAGCAGTCACATAATCTCATTGTTAATAGTCGACTTCTTTAGGAGGTGCACTTATGAGATCCTGCTGATTACTTTAATGTCAGGAGTATTGCAGGGGAAGGGAAGGGAGGAGGTAACATCCATAAGGCACATAACAGGGAGCTGGGGTTCAGACTGTATACGTTATTTACCTTTTTGCTCCACTTCTATTTTAAGCATCGGAAGAAAAATAAAAAGAGTGCAAGGAAAAAAGAAAAAAGATTAAAATAAATTGACTATTAGTCTAAGACTGAATTCGTAATAGATGCTAAATATAGGAAGAATAAGAGCTGCACTACTTTGGATAAAGAGAAACACACAACAGGAAAACCTAGCAGGAGAAAGATTCTAAAGTTACATAAAAAAACATGGATCAATCATTTTAATAGATTAGGGAGGCAATACAAATATGTTGGCATGTTGCTTCACTTAGTGTACCTGAATAAATAATGAAATTCTTCACTAATGCATGGCATACATACTCTTGCCTTTGCAAAGTCACTCAGCATTCTTATCAAGTTTTACTTTTGTATGTACGCTATAGACACAAATGCATGCATAGGTGTATCATGACCATATATCCTATCATGTGAATTCAAATTACATTGACTAAAATGAGGTTAAGCATAATAACAGCAAAATATAGTTATAAAAAATGACAACTCAATTTTGGAGCTTAGGTCAAATTTAATGAATGTAGATATTGCTCCATTTTAACATTTTTCAAATATGTTTATATATCACGAAATATATAATTATGCATCTCAATACATGTTGTAACTGTTTTTCCATTATTTTCTATTTCTACAAATATGCATCTGAACCATAAAAAAACAATGCCTCCTTTACAGGAATATACAAATTTACCCCATCTATCCCAATAGGGATTTTGAAGGGTGGGATATGGTAATGCATTTCTTTTCCACTAATTATTAGTAAATTTAAGTATAAAAATTATATTATACTCCATAATATATAATTCTTATCAAATTCTCTATAACGCATATCTCAAGTTGTAATATTAAGACTATTAAAAAAAAAGTAAGCAAAATACATACAAGGAAAAAGCAAGCACAGTAGGCAAGGAGAAAAAGGAAGAAAGAATTATGGTTAGCTCATTATGACATTGTCTACCATCATTAATTTACACAGAAAGCAAGCTCGCATGCAACAACAATCATACCAAGCATTCAAAGCAAATACCTTGACTCCACAGACCCCAGAAAAGGTAAATGCTTTCATAAAACAAACCTGATTAGTACAGTGATAAGCGAAAAAAATCCTCCCTCCAAGAAGTTTAAAGAAATGGATTATGCAGTTAAAGAAGGCTGCTACATGACATTCTTATTGGTAAATAGTATTCTAATAATTACAAACCACAAAGCACTATTTTAGATTGTATGTAGGCTTTGAAGTATGTTGCCTGAATTTCATAACGTGTTCAGATTAATGTCTCTGCTGCTGCTGCTTCCCTTATTAAAATGCATTAGGGTGTGCTAGGACTTTATCTCCAAACTGATTACTCAAAGATACTGTAGTTGCACATTTCAAGATGTCTCAACTTGACTAATTTCTTAAACTTATAATAATTCAAGATTAAATACTGACCTCCTGAAATACCTTATGGAGAAACGTCACACTAATATTTTTGGCATAAAAATAGCATACTCCTTCCACATTAAGCTACCACCCCCCAACCCCATCCAACTTGGTGTATTTAACTACTTTCAGGAAACATACTTGCTCTATAATGTGTAATTCTGACTGCATCCGGTAAAAAGAAGAAATTAAGTGTTATTGACATGAAAAACTTTTTATAAACCACTAGTCCTAAAATTACTCCTCAGTGAAGAACAATATTATACCTGCTTGGAATCAATAACGAAGGGCGTGGTGGGAAAATGAGGATAAGAGAAATCATTAGTGTTGTGACTGTTCAGACTTATATTTTTATACGGTTATATTCTTTTAGAAAAGGAGGATTTTACTGAAATAAATCAATTACATTGAAAGGATGGGAATAATACACTTTAAAATATGTTACATACTTAAAATAGAACTTAAAACAAGTTCAATAAAGGATGTAGAAAGTTATTTCATTTTCTATTAATTGAAAATGGAAGAGTTTTATTATTAGATAAATTAAACTGACAGTGCAGTTACTGAGTAAAATATTAAATAGGGAGGCTTTGTTTGTAATTTAACCGATATACTTATATTAAAAAAATAAAATGGGTATAGGTTGCATCTAATTTATAATTCTGATGAAAATGAGAATATCCAAAGATAAAGATAAAAAAATAACTAAATAAAATCTTTGGTGATTAATGAATCAAATAAGATATGGATATTTAAAACAAATGTCCTTACATTATAATTTTTTTAATACATTATAATTTTTATGAAAATCCAAAGCACAAGTATATGCTTTGGTACATCAAATTGGTACATTAAAATTCCTCAACCCAGAATAATACAAAATCACAATAAAATTAATGAAATTGGCATTAATTAGCATCTTCACATGCCTAATATATATGCAACTTGTCTTGAGACTGTGTGAATTAATTCATAATATTATGTTTACTATTCTATAGACCAAACAAACATAAATACATGGCCCACTAACATCAGTGGAGGACTACATGGATATGGAACAAAAGAAATTTACCCAAGCAAACTAACGCCTATATACTCTGTAACTTAAGTGACACACTATTTCATTTTGAATAATCTCATGTTTACTCGTTAATAATGACTTAGTTAACAGTAATGGTTATTTTTTCATCAAATAAAACTTGTAGCTAAAATTATGAAATCACTTTTATAATTCAGTGATAATCTGAAACAATGTAACACAAAAATCAATGCCAAATTCTGCCTACAGAATATGAATTTCCAATCTGATTTTCTCCTTTATCCTACAAGATCCTTATGAATTATTTTAAACAACTACATTTAATTACTAACACTTCTGTTAAGGATAAAGAATGCCCTGTGTACATATATTTTTGACATAGACATTATCTAGGAAGGATTATATGTCAGATATTAATACATATGCCTGTCTGTAAACATGCAAAATAAAACAAACAGGTTTTCTAATGTGTTGAGTAAATTATTGAACTTTCAGAAGCATGAAAAATTTTCTGAATAGCTTTTTAAAGAGGAGAGAATAGTATGGGATATATAAGCTCCTGGAGAATTTGCTCTGGATAAAAACTGCCATAAAGCAAGATGGTAAGGAACACATAATGAATATTACCTAATGGTGACAATTTTTACTGACTAACTATAGTGTAAAGGTTATGCAAATAGTACAAGTACAAGTACAAAAACACTACTAAAACAAGGAGAAAATAAAAGTTACAGGCTTAAAATAAAAGCAAGTGTGAAGGATGGGTACTATGAACAGAACCATAAAGAAACAAAAGAAACAAAATAGAGAACAATCTAAAAAGATCAGAACAATCTAAAAAGATCCTTTGATTTATATTTTCATATTAGAAAAAACCATGCAATTGATAGTGTGTCACTACTTTACGGTATATAGAAGTTATAATTACATCAATTCTTTAGCAAGAAATGGTTTTTAAAAAGCCACAGACTTATTTCTGCCTTGTGCAAACTTCTAGAAAGGTAACAGCAAATTAATTCCCATGTTTTATTTAAAGGACAAAAACTAAAAAGAACCAATACTTCTCTGAGGATAGCTAATTGCAAGTTTAGTGCACAATGTAAAATAGTTCTGGAGAACTGAAAAAGTAAAATTTTGAAAGTTAGAAGTTCCAGAAGATATCCACTTTTCCCTGTCTGACACAGCGCAAGAAATAACTTCAGTCTGAAAATAACATTTGCTTCACTCTGCTCTTGGTCTACAGACTAGGGTATGGAAACAGGCTCCAGAAAGAAACAATTCTTAGCAGCTCTGACTGACCCCACTGTTTGGGGATGGATGTTGTATTCCTTTTCTAATGTGAAGACAGAAACCATGCTAAATTCAAGTGAACGTAACTTTATGGAACAAAATTTTGGTTAGCTTAAAAGAATAGAGTGTTCTTCTAGTGGCACAGGAGAATGAGTATGTGAGCCACCAACACTACACACGGGAGAAATGACATCAAGATCAGTACACTCAGTGTGGGCTTCCAATCCTACAAATGGTATAGAAAATACTGAAAACATAAAAAGCATCCATTTCACAGTAACACAGGCACAGAGCAG